CCGTGTGTGTGTGTGTGTGTGTGTGTGTGTGTGTGTGTGTGTGTGTGTGTGTGTGTAGGCCAGAGGCTAGCCTCAGACGTCTTCCTCAGTTACTTGCTACCTTGTGTTTTTGAGACAGGACCTCTCACTGGCCTGGGGCTCCCCCACTCTGCTGGGCTGGCTGGCCAGAGAGCCCCAGGGTTCTGCCTGTCTGCTTCCAGGGCCGGGACCAGAAGCACACTGCACCTGGCTTTTATATCTGGACTTCGGGATAAAACTCGGGGCCTTATGTTTGTGCTTCAGGCACCTTAGTGCTTGATCCGTCTCCCCAGCCTCTGGAGACCCTTCTTAAAGGGTTCCAAGCAGAATCCCCAAAGAGACACAAATGGATTGCTTGCTTGAAGCCAGGGTGATCTTGCCTTCTGGTTTGGTCCTGATTATTTGATTATTGTAAATCACTGATTTGATATTGATAAGCATTTGTCCTGGCCAAACCATGGCCGGCTGTGTGGGCGTGCAACCTGTGACATCATACAGGGCCCTGTTCTTCATAGTATGCTCAGCTGACATTGTCTTGAGAGTCTTAATGATTTTTAAGCAGGGGCCTTGCATTTCTATACTGCAGGGGGCTCTGAAAATTGTTTAGCAGGTCTGGATTATAAACAGACTAGAGACGAAAATAAAGAAACCGAAAAGGGATCAGGCCCCTGAGGAATCTACAGCATACATTTGTTCTGGTAACCAGTGCCCTGCAGCTCTCCCTTCAGGCATGTCTTCTAGAAGATGCCAGGGGAACTGCTCAGGCCCGAGTCTGATGGTCAGCGTGCTGATGTTGCCTGGCAATGCCAAGCCTACCTGGAGGGAGGGTCTTCTCCTCTTGAACGGGAGGAGAGCGACTCCCACTTGATGTAGAGTTTCCAAGTGCAGATTCTGAGTAGATGGAGTCTGTGTGTATTTAACTGCTGTGACTGTGTTTGTGAATTTGACTGGTTTTAGGACTATGGAGAGTCCACTCATCTTCTCCCCCCCCCTTTCAGAAGCTGTTTTGACTTAAGTGAGAAGTGTACTAAAGAGAGGACAGGCTCGGGTGGATAGGGGGACCTCGCCTGTGCTGAGAACAGAGGGTCTCGTGAATCTGTGCTCTGATCAGCACGGCTCTTCAGCTGGAAATCCCCTTACCTGTTCTGCCCAGCAAACAGCGTCAGCAACACTCCCAGCTGCCTTTCCCTCCCTGTTGCCTGGAAGATTCCATGCTCTTTGGACTGCGGCCTGGCAGAGGGACTTTCCTTTGTTGTGAAATAGAAGGCCTGGAAACAACGAAAAGAGAATAGATTCTGCATTGATGAGCACAATTAAAAAAACAACAAAAAAAGGAGTTAGGCCAGGTGACTCACGCCTATAATCCCAGCACTCAGGAAGCTGAGGCAGGAGGATTGTTACAAGGCCTATCCAGAATGAATTCCAGGTCACCCTATGTTACAAAGTGAGACCTTTTCTCAAAAAAAAAAAAAAAAAAAAAAAAAGCAGGTGGGGTATTATGGTATTAAGTCTTCTGATCGACTACTTGAGAAGAACATGATACGGTTTTGCTTGGCTGTTGTTATGACCCCACATTTACTTATCACCTTTCCCGGTTTTGGGGTCCCAGAGCTCTGGATAGGATACAGTGTGTTTGATTATTTCCTCTGGTAAAGTCCTGAGAGCCTGGGGCTCTCGGGCTCTGGGGGTGGAGCTTGCTCATGTCATTACTTAGGATTGGGTAGCAAATGACTGAAAACCAACTCGAGTAAAAGGGGATATTGGTTTTAAAGATTTTGGGTGACTCCCGGGACTCAGGAAGAACATGGCTCATCTCAGGGGAAACAGAGACAGACTTTTCTGAGCTCCTAGTATCTGCTTGGTTTGACGTTTTCTGTTCAGTCCAGTCCTCCCATTTGCACTGTTCCCTTTCTCCACCTTTGGAGGCTGGAATCACAGGTTGCGTCCAAGCCTACCTGGCATTTAGAGGAGTTCTGAGGATGAGCAGCAATCCTCACAAACGGTAAACTCTTAACCACCAAGCTGTGGGGGCCCCACAGACGCTCCCTAGTAAGGCCTTACTCAAGGTTGGAAAGTCTGAGCTTGCTTTACCCAGCAGGGCTGCATAATAGGATGATTTGGCCAAAGGCGTGGTTACCAGGTGTTTTGAAGGGTCTACACTTGGTTGTACGCTGTGCTTTGATCTTGAAAGGGGGAGGTGTTTTGCCTCTCCCCTTGCTAATGTATAAAAAGCCCATTAGAAATAAACTCGACGCGACTGGATATTGACCCAGGGCCCTCCCGAAACTATCCTGTGTCTCTGTCTTTTTTCTTCGTCTACTTCTATGTTTCCTATCTAGCATTTCTCAGTTCCTCACTCCCCTCTTCAAGGGACCCTTCGATGGGTCTGAACACCAACACTGGGTCCCCTGACACGAAGCCACACTCCAGCCCTTTTAGGGTTTTAGTGAAGAGAAAATTAAGTGGTAGAAGGTGATAGAAGAGCCTTATGGACAAGGGACCACAGCACCAACCAAAGCCAGCCGGTTTCGAGGAGGATTTCCAAATAGAAGCTCAAGCTTATGCAGGCTGAGTGGCATCATGGGAATGGACAAAGGGCAACATCAAAGCTCTAAGGAGAGTGATGAAGAGCGCAGGGCGTCAGAGTCACAGGCTTCAGGGGAAACTGAAGGGGCAAATGGGGCACTCTATTGTAGCTTGAGTTTTCCTGCCTGGCCCACAGTCAGGACAAATCTCTGTCACCTGCCAGTCCCACAGCCGCTCAGACCCAACCAAGTAAACACAGACTTTTATTGCATACAAACTGTATGGCCATGGCAGGCTTCTTGCTAACTGTTCTTATAGCTTAAATTAATCCATTTCCATAAATCTATACCTTGCCACATGGCTCATGGCTTACCGGTGTCTTCTCTTCACATGCTTCTTGTCATGGTGGTGGCTGGCAGTGACTTCGACTCAGCCTTCCACTTCCCAGAATTCTTCTCCTTGTCCCACCTATACGTCCTCCTGCCGGACTACTGGCCAATCAGTGTTTTATTTACTAACCAATCAGAGCAACACATTTGCCATACAGAACATCCCACAGCACTCTATTGGTCAGATTTTCATCATTGTAACAAAATACCAGAGATGATCAGTGTAAAAAGGTAGCTCATAGTTGGTGGGTGCTGGTGATTTGGGCCTGTTTCAGGGTCACTCATCATGGCAAGAGAGCACGCTGGAGTGAGCCATCAGCTCATGGCCAGGAATTGAGAGAGTGTGAAGATCAGGGCATCCTCCAATGACCTGCACAGATCCCTGTATCCCTAATGTTTTAAAGGTTCTACTGCTTTTCAATAGCTACTCCCTGGGACCAAACCTTTCACACACAGATCTTCAGGTGACATTTAAAGTCTACATGGTAGCAGACCCATAGTGGAACCCAGGCTGTAGAGTCATGGACAAAAATCAGAAAAGGCAGGAAGTTCCTGGGTCCAGGGATAATTTACTCAAGGTTTTAAAGTAGCTGTCGCCCATGACTGACCCTAGATCTGTGCCGGATGAAGGGTCGTCAGGACGCCAGTTGGTAAATTTGGTACCAGAGCAAGGAATCATACATCCTAGCCACCCAGGGTGGTACTTGGTGCCGGCTCTGCTCCAGGCTCTGTTTGTTTCATTAGTGAACTGAATGGAGATGATAGAAAGGGTGGCCCAGAACTCTGATGCAGCCTAAAAAAGTGATAGGCTAATCGACACCAAGAAACAGAATCGGGAGTGGCCAGACCTCGAGTGAAATGGGCTATGCGTAAGAGGGGAGGACTTGCCGTGCGGTGGCGACACACACCTTTAATCCCAGCACTTGGGAGGTAGAGGCAGGTGCATCTCTGTGAGTTCACAGCCATCCTGGGCTACAGAGTGAGTTCCAGGACAGCCAGGGCTACATAGAGAACCCTGTCTCAAAAAACCAAAAAAAAAAAAAAAAAGGGTTGGGGGAGGGAGGGTGGACTTTAAAGCCTGGCCCCGGTGTTCGGAGCTGATGTCAAGGTGGTACAGTGAGGGTTGTGGGAAATATGGCAGTTCCTAGGAAAAGACCTCACTAACAAGTCTAGTGGAGTCTGGAAAGCTGGAGGAAATTGTTTTATCACCATGATGCCAGATGATATTTGAAATTTTTAATGAGTGGTTTGCATGATATTTTAATATGAAATAGAGATAAATTGGAACTTATCCGATATCTGGAAACCACAATGCAAGACCAATTCTCTGTGTGTGTGTGTGCGCGCGCGCGCGCACACATGTGTGTGCATGCATGTAGAGACCCGGGGACAAGCTTGGTGTTCTTCAGCAGCCATCTACGTCATCTACCTGTGTTTTTGAGACAGGGTCTCTTATTGGCCTGGAGTTTGCTAAGCAGGCTAGGCTGGCTAGCTAGTGGACTCCAGGCCTCCTCTCTTGAGTGCTGCCATTTGGTGTGAATACTACCATGCTCATTTTTGTTTAACATGGGCTCTTGGGATTGAACCCATGTCTTTGTGCTTCGAGACAAGCACTTGATCTGTCTCACTAGCCCACGATACAGGACCAGTTCTTAAGGAAACAGGAGATGGCTGTTGGAAGAGTGGACAGTGGACTTCCCATCTTACACTGTCCTCACATGGAAGGGAGACAAATCGATAGTTCTAGATGGTAAAAATACAAAAGTAGTGGGTGGCGATATGGAAGTAGATCTTCATATTTTGATAATTAAGAGATGGGATAATAACCAAAAGAGGAGATGCAATTTCTATGAGGAAATAAATATACTTCTAGATTTGTCCTTTGCTATGGTTTGACTGGAATGTCCCATTCAGGCTCATGGTTTGAATACTTGTCCCCCAGCTAGAAGTGATATTTTGAGGGGCTGTAGAACCTGCAGGAGGTGGGTGGGTTTACTAGGGAAGGTTTTCAAGGCTATGCCCCTCTTTGGTTCCTGTTATATTCTTCTCTGTTTGCTGGCCTGCCAGGATGTGAGCAGCCTCTGCCACACGCTGCCACCCCCATCAGCGACTGAGCTGTGCCTTTCCCTCCATGGTGGGTTGAAACCCTCCAAAACCAGGAGTCAAGACGAAGCTGTGTTGTCTCAGCCATACACAGGTAATGAATGCACCTCTTTCTCAGGGACGTGTGGAGGTGGTTTCTGTTTGGTATAGAAAGTTGAACTATTTAATTCCCTCTTTAATTAATTAATTAAATCAATTCCCTCTTTCTTCCTCTTTCTTCTGACCCTAAGAGGCTATGATTTGTTCTTAGCTCTTCTGGAAAAAAAAAAAAAAAAAAGAAGGCTGAGTGGTTTGGGGCTGGCTATGTACACTTATGAGCCTGTGGAAGTTGGGTGAATAATTCCCATTCTCTTTTTCTCCAGGAATTATTATGGAGTTCAAATGAGAAGAAACAGGCGCATGAGAGCAGAAAGGTTCGTTTCACTTTGCCCTCACAGGATTTCATTTTGACAATTCCCTGTGTAGATTTCTCAGATAGCCGCAACCCTCAGCAGCTCTGCATGCTCCTGCCTCACACCTCTGACGATTCATCCCCCGGAAAGTTTGGTTCAGCCGTTTATATCCGTGGCTTTGAAGCCGTCTATCAAAACTCTCTGCCAGGGACTGCATTAAGATGTTGGCAGCTGGTGGCTGCTTCTCCCCAAGTGCACTGCTTGTTCCAACCAAGGAACACTGGAGAAGGATGGAGAGATACGGTGTGCTCTTCATTTTGCCAAATAACATGGATTATGATGCCATCCTCCTTGGGAACTTTCCGCAGGATGAGGGTGTGCTGTCCCTGTCATACCGCCAATGACCCCTTTGTGTGGTAAACAAACAAACAATCAAACTCTGGCTTTATGTAACCACCCTATGGATGCCGCATCATGTGTCCTGGTACTGCCTGCATTGGCCCCTTCTAGCAAGGGCTGTATCAGAGCAGGACAAAGCCACCTGTACGCAGGAAAGGATGAAGGCAGTGTGTAATTCTATAAAACACTTTGAGGATTTCAGAAGGTGCTACGTACATCAATAAATAATAATAATTTTCACTCTTTCTTCTTTGTAATACTCCCTTAGAAGGTTGAAAATAAAATTTCTTTCGCTATTGATTTTGTCCTTCTACATTGGACAAACATTGATTTTTTTTTCCCCTTTCTTAACGGAGCAGAAGCCAACGCAGTTGTATTTCATTTACTTTGCTCTCCAATCCCAGTGCCATCACGTTAGCAGGACTCCAGGCACCCGCAGAAGCTGCCCATGGCGGTTGTTTAACTGCAGGGCACAGGGTCTCAACGAGAATTGGACGACACAGCAAGCGCACATTAGCTCCTTGCTCCGCCATTGCAAGCCTGAACACTGCAGGCAGGAAATGCACTCAGATGTGGGCCTGAGTGGCTGGGAATCTTACAGACGTGTAGGAGGAGTTTGGGGTCCAGGAGGGGCAGGTGGGTGAGAGTGGAGGCTTCCCATCGCCTCCAGGGCCCCCTTGAAAGGTGGCACAAGCTGGGTGACTGGCATGCAGAAATGGATTTCTTTCAGTCTTGTGGCTGGGCAGGCCGGGATCAGGGTGCTGAGTGGGAGTGGGAGAAAGGTTCTGTATTTCTTTTTACGTGTGTGTGTGTGTGTGTGTACATGTGCATACATGTCAGTTCCTGTGCATGTGGAAGTCAAATGCCAAGCTCGGTTGTTCCTTGGGTGCTGTGTAAGTTTATATGGAGCCTCTTCACACGCTTGGAGCTTGCCAAGTAGGCGTGGCTAGCTGACCATTGAGCCACAGTGCCCTCCTCTATCTATCCCCATAGTATTGGCATTGCATATGTGTATTATCATGCGTGGTGTTTTTTTTTTTTTTTTTTTTTTTTTTTTTTTTTTTTCTATGATGATTCTGGGGATCGAACTCAGGTCATTATGCGTGTGCAGCAGACACTTACTAAGCCGTCTCGCCCACCTTCATGTGCGTATTTTTATCCACCCATGCTGGGCTGTGCAGGATGGATGGAGGATACCCACTTCCTAGCTCCAGTTCATCAGTGTGTTCCATAGAAATGGGGCTCTAGTTTTCCTGAGAAGAGTGAGGATGGCTTCCGCTCAGGGCAGGACAAGCTCTGGGGAACATGATGGGGCTCTGGGGAACATGATGGGGTCCTAGGCGAGGCTGAGGGGCAGAGGAAGACATGTATGTTAAATCTCCCCTTTTAGGTCGGTGCAGTGGTTTGAATAGGTTTGGCCCCTATAGACTCATAGGGAGTGGTGCTCTTAGGAGGTGTGGCCTTGTTAGAGTAGGTGTGGCCTCAGAGGAAGCATGTCACTGTGGAGGTAGGTTTTGAAATCTCATATATGCTTGAGCTATGCCCAGTGTGGTATACAGTTTACTTCCTGCTGCCTATGGGTCAAGATGTAGAACTCTCAGCTCCTTCTCCAGCACCATGTCTGCCTGCATGCTGCCATGCTTCCCCACCATGATGATCATGGACTGAACCTCTGAACTGTAAGCCAGCCCCAATGAAATGTTTTCCTTTATACGAGTTGCTGTGGTCATAGTGTCTCTTCACAGAAGTAGAAACCCTGACTAAGACAGTCAGCTACTGCAGATCCTTGTGTAATCATACTGGTTATTGACTATAATGATAACAGTGGTATCATACTGCTGTGTACAGGAACTCTGACTCCCATGGCCACAGCCAAAGGAACATGGATTCTGGGAGATGCACACAAGCTCACTCTGGAACCTTCCCTCACCTTGGCTAGTGCAAACTGCGGCCAGGAGTGATGAAGTAACACTGCTCACAGAGAAGATGCACTTGCCCCAGGCATTTAAAGAAAAAAGGATATAACACTTGCAGACTTGTAACACATGCAGAGTCCATGACTAAAGCACACAGACCCCATGTCTAACACATGTAGACCCCATGTTTAACACATGCAGACTCCGTGTCATTATTTTCATACTAACCTACTCTTCAACAATCTCCTCCCTAGTCAGTGAGAGCAGTTAAGATTAGAAAGTCCTTCAGGAAGACATTCTGCCTAGGAGACAAACGGTAGACCTCAGGGAAGGTTTGCGTGGCATCCATGGAACAGTGACCTGGATTCCCTGAAGCTGGCCTTTGCTGTTCTCAACACAGTCCAAGGTTGTGAGTCTCACCACTGTGCCGTGTGACATCCTGTGTTGGAGGACGCCTGCGGAGCGAGCCGCATGTGGCCTCTGCAGCATGCTCTTTACCTGCATAGGGTGTGTTTTTATCTCCATAACCACCGCTTCCCAAAGGGTCGAGGTGGCTGTTACAAAGGGGTAAAACTTTTCAGTTTTGACTGTGTGGACAAAAGGTGAGAGTTGAGGTGATTATCCTGATAATGAAGGTTAAGAAGGCTTCCTCCCGAAAACGCAGGTAATTGAAACTAATGTCTATTTTGGCTTGAGTCAGCTTCGGCTCCTCTGCCTTGCCTTTTGCACACACAGCCTCTCCTGGCTTGAATTTATGTCGCTTGCACGTTGGAGCCTCAGTAAATCTCGGCTGTGCGTTACCGCCAGACGAGCCAGGCAGCTGGTTGCCAACGGAGAGGAGATGAACAAACATGCATCCGCCGCGTCTGGTCCTTTCGTTTTAAGCCACTTAGCCCACGCACTCAGTGAGCACGGGGATGCGTTTCTGCAGGATTCCTGGAACTCACGGGTTTTTAGAGGTGTTTAACTTACATATCCACGCTCCTGGAGACAGTTGGGGAGGGCGGACAAAAAAAAGGCCAAAATTACCGTGCTCTCTAAACACAAAGTGGGTATGGGGGTGTGTCGTCGCCATGCGCTAAATATACAGCTCTTCCACTGGAGGGACGGGATAAGAATACTGCCTAAGTAGGTCAGACTGAGTTTGGGCTTTTCAAAACACTTGAAAGCTGCGCCGTGAATCCCTCCTTCAAAGCCTGGATTCAGTGTGTGTGTGTGTGTGTGTGTGTGTGTGTGTGTGTGTATGTGTGTGTGTGTGTGTTTGTGTGTATAAGTTTGCGTGTCTGTGTGTTTCTCTGTGTGTATGTGTTTGTATGTCACTCTCTGTGTTTGTGTCTGTGTGTATTTGTATGTTTTTGTGTGTTTGTGTGTGTGTCTGTGTGTGTTTGGGTGTCTCTCAGTATGTATGTATTTGTATTTGTGTGTCTGTATGTCATGTCTGTATGTGTGTTGTGTTTGTGTCTGTCTCTGTGTATGTTTTTGTGTGTGTCTAGGGGTTTGTGTGCATGCATGTGTGTCTGTATGTGTGTGTATGTGCATCTGTGTATATGCATGCATATGTATGTGTATGTGTGTGTGTGTGTGTGTATGTAGATGTTTTGTTCTCAGGAAGTGTTCCATCGCTCCCATGGCTCTCATTTGGCAGACTCTGCTTTTCTGGCCATATGTACTTCCCTTTCTAATGCAGCAGGTAGAAGAGATAATTGGACAGTGGACACAGCCAGTGTGGCGAGGCTGAAGAGGAAGAGGAGAACTTTCTAGGGGACGAATGGGGAGCTCAGGAGGCTGCAGTACCTTGGCACTGTTGAGGGCTGCCTTTTGGCTGCCTGAAATTAAAAGGGAGGAGCCACGGAGACACCCCTCTGGGGATTAGCCACAAGTGAAAACCCGGCACAGACAGAGCTTAGCAGGGTTGGCCTTCCTCCCTCTCTGTGCCGAGGCTGTTCTGAATTCAGGATTCTGGCAGATTCAAACCCCCTTTCATCAGTAACTCTACTGTACGATCTACCTGTCACTTCCCCAAATGATATCTCTCTGACTCCTTTTTTTTTAGGGAGGAAAATTTCTCACTAGCTTGTCATTCAATTCACCCACCCAGACACCTACTGCTCAACCAGCCTGGAAAAAAAGAGGAAAAAAAAATCTGGAATTTATTCAAATTTGAGAAAATGCTTCAAGCTTTCTTCGATGTGTGTGATTTATGGAATGTGACATAACTGTGTAGTATTCTCATCAAAAAGCCTCAGGCTTCAGGTGAGTCAGGCCATCAATGAACTCTGTTACTTTTGAAAGCCAGAGAGCTCCCGAATGAGAGGCTGTGCGTTCCCCATGCTTGCATGGGCTGGCATTGCTGGCGTTCTGAAGGTACCATTAGGAGCCATAGGTAAGGGTCACTTTCTCGTGCCTTTTGCGGAGAAGCCACACTTGGTCCTGAACAGTGTTTCTTTGCTACTACACGTTAGCCTCAGTCATTGCTCACTGACCAGGGTGCTGGCTGGAATAGCACCCAGCATAGCACAAGAAGGCAGCTAGTCTCTCTTACAATATTTCAAGGCTCCCCAGGACTAGTTCCTATTGCCTCCTATGTCAGGAGATCTTAGCAATGAACACCCAGGGAGGAGAGGGCACCTGAGGATCTCTAGAGCTGTGTGGAGCTCAGCTCAGGTACCAGCCGACCTCCTGCTTGAAGCCAGAGGACATAGGCTGGAACTCCAGCCCCAGATTCTCTGACCACACATGGCTGCCTCAAGCCCTCTGGTCCATCAGTGTATTCACCTGTAAAAGGAAATATGGAGTTCATGTCTCACGTACCCCAAATGGCTAGAATTCTTTCCTATGGTAGGTGGGCCTGGGGATAATCGGTATTTCCAGCCCTCCTTGTACCCCTCAGTTGAAATGCCTTAGCTATTTTAATTCTAGAATCACCTGGGGGCTTATGAACCAGGACCAGCTTCAGGAGTAGGCTTTAACTCATTAACTAAGCCTCTTAAGTGTGTAGCTGACTTTTGTCCTTGTAGTTGGCGGTCTCTGAGCATAGCATGGCCATTGTTACCTTTAGGAAAGCGGCAGCAGCTACCCATACACAACTCAATTCATCAGATCAGTCTGGTTGACAGTCGCTCATAGAAAAAGAGATGGAGGAAGCCGTTACACCCTGACCTGGGATTATATTCCTTCTTTCCCTCAGGCTCCTCTCTGCTCTGTTTCCTCCCCAACTGTATCTTGGGAGGTACTAGAGTGTATAGAGGATGAGAGATTTACTGATAGGAGGAGGCACCTATGCAGCTTTGGGAGGTGGCCACCTATACTAGGGCGAGACTTTTT